GAGGGTCGTCTAGATATCAAATAAGACATCTGGCCTACTGGTGACAATGACAGACCACTCAGCTGGCTCAGGCGCTGAAATCAACCCAGTACTCCGCTTCCCCGATGAGAAGGTGGGTCGTGATCACACGGGAAGCTCCTCTGTTTTCCCACCGTCAATTCCAGAGACTGTATGTTCTATTAACCGGGGGAAAAAACCTGTCCCCTTGTTTGGGTGTCCTAACTGCACGCGGAAGAAGGCTGGGCGGGCAGTATGTCCAGACAGGGTCAGGGGTGTGGCCAAGATTCAGAGGTCTGGAAGGGTCCACCCACCGCAGCTCCGTCCCACCCAGTCTAGAGACCTCGCTCCCACGTTCCTTAGCCCCACATGTCCGAGCCCTTCACCCACTATTCCAGAACTCATATTCCAACAGGAACTGAGGGCCACCCAAGGATGTTCCAATCTCTCTCTTTTCTGACTCTATCTGGGGAGGCCCAAAAGCACATGAGCTCACTAGATGGAGAGAGAAAAGCCAAAGCCATGACAGAGTGACCACGGCACTGCTGAGAACCCCTTCACATCCCCCTTTGTCCCGGCAGCTCACTTACCCCCACTCTATCCTTCAGCAAGACAACAAAGACAAACCACAAAACTTACTCAAAATTAGTTCCGACATGCTGGCGAGGATCCCCACAGGCGCAGAAACAGAGCTTTCGTTCAAAGAATATTCACAAAGACAGAAGAAAGCCCCCGACGGACAGTCAGTGCTCTAACTGCAGACCCGGCTCATNTCCTATACTCACATGGCCCCAGTCTTCCGCTTACTCACCATCGGTTAGCCAGTGGGCGTTAGGGTTCTACAATGTTCTCAACACCCTTCCCCACGCGGGCATACTGGAGCCCACGCGGCCAGGCACCCCCCACGGAGAGCCCTCTGATGAGAACCGAAGCCTTTCTTCTCTGGTTGGAGCACCTGCCCTTGACAGTCTCATCGTGAAGGAAAAGGGATCAAATAAAAGGTATAAAACGACAAGGAATGTGTTCAAAGGAACTTAGGGGAGTCGAGAGGAATCACCCTTTTATCAACATCAGGCTGCGGTTTTCACTGATGTGACAAACTTCAGCCGGGACGTGACGTGAAAGGTGGGCCTTCCAAACACCTGCAGCCCTCCTCCTGCACCGGTGTTCCCTGGCCGGATCCCGTCAGGGTTTCCTGGGTTGGTCTTTGCTTTCTAAGAGCTGGACGGAGAATGGGTGAGAGGGGCAGGGACTGGGGGAAACCGGAAGGAGCGGATACCATGCGCTCTGGGCGGTGAGGGCAGCTGGCTCCCCAGTGTGGGAGGCCGAGGTTCACCAAAGCCAAGCCCGGCAGGAGGACACGCGGACTCAGGAGGGGGCTGGAGTCATAAGAGGAGGAACTGGCCCCAGCCTTGGGTTCTGGGGGTGCCTTACAGGCCAGGCCCAGGGCACCCCAGAGGTCGGGGACACAGCATGGCCTAGAACTATGCGTAACATACACGCACCTATTTTTCCAAGACACACGCATATTGTTGGGATGAAGACCACATGAGCTAAAAGTGTTCCTGAGGTCACGCACACGACAATGCAGACAAATCTTTCAATTATCCAATGGCAATCCCGGAGAACATGATTCTATCACTGAACATGTAACAGTGAGCAGACTCCTTAAGTACCTGCCCTCTGGGAGCCTACACTCTGGGCGGGGCACAGAAAACAAGCTCAATCGGTAACACACAGCGTGTTAGCGCAGAGGGTGTGTTCTGGGGGTATATTAAGCAGGGAGGGGGCGATGATGCAAAATTATGCCCAAGGTGCCCCATGTACCAGCTGGGTAAAGGCAGAGATGGTGTGACCCATGGCGGGTGGGGGGGAGGTGCCTGCAGTAGCCAGGGATCGAGGGTCTGTTGGCAGGGTACAATGACAAACAGGGCTGATGACAAGTGGTCACAACCTAGATATTCTCTGAGAGAGAAGCCGCGGGGATGTGCTGACAGTGTGGGTCTGGGTGTGAGAGAGACACCAGTCAAGGGGCACCCCAGGGCCTTGACCTTAGCAAACAGAAGGACGGACAGAGGACAGAGCTGCCACTGCTGAAGCCCAGGGGAGGAGCAGGTCCGGCACTGTCAGGGCTGTGCCTCTGCCACCTGCTACGGGGCCTGCCGCGGACCCCTGTGGGCGCAGCGCCTGCTTACTGCGTGTTACAGCGTCAGCAGGCGAGGCCGGCTCTGGGCGCCTGCAGAGCAGGGCCTGTGACCCATGGGCCCGGCCTGCTCTCTGTACAGCCTTCAAGCTAAGAAGGTCGTTTTATATTTGTAAAGAGCATAAAACAAGTAAAAACACAAGCAAACAAAGAAATGTCTGTCAGCCAGCCAAGCCTAAAATACTCACTAGGTGGCCCTCCCCAGAAAAGCCTGCTGACCCATTTTACAGGTCGGTGTCCTCGATTCCATGCATGGGGTCAGCCCAGGGGCCCCGGACGAGGCTCCCAGAGTCCGGAAGTTCCTGCCAGAAACCCCCAGGGGAGTGGAGTCCGGGTCAGGACCAAGGCAAGGACCTGAGCATCGTGCATCCTGAGAATGTCACTTAAAACGTGCATAAGGTGAGCAGCCCGCTCGCTGTAACCTCCAGAGATTAGAGAGAAGGGAACGGACTAGCAACTCGGGCCTCCACACGACAGGACAGTTCATCATGACGCAGGAGGGTTCATACTCACGTCAGTGTAATGCTGAGTCTCGTCCCTGGCACTCAGCTCACTGGGTCCCGCAGACTCCTAAGAATCTGTTCTAGAAAGACAGCATGGGCCTGTCTGAGGGCCCAGAGAACACAGCCTTAGCTCTGGAGGCTTCTCGTCTCCAGGATCCTTAAAACACCTCAGGTACTGTTCGGAGCGTGTCAAGGTGCTCACTCTGGGGCCACACATGGAAACCCCGCTGTTCACCTGGGTTGGGGGCCACATCAGTGCCCAAGTGCCAGGAGCCGTCTGCGCCTCAGTGTCTGACATGGCCAAACCCACTGCAATTGTGACAAATTCTGAAGCTCTGACTGAGAAACAGATACTACTGCTTTATATCTTAAAGAATTTAAATTCCCCTTTGGATGCCCCCCAGTAGGATGAAGATCTTACACCCCTTCTAATAGATATATCACAATAATTATATTTTATACACTAAAGGCAATTTTAG